TTAGACATTGTGGACATTTCTAGCAGCTGGAGTGTTTGTGGATATAATGAAAAGTCCACATCATGCCCCTCTAACATCTGACACCCCCCTGCTAGAGATAAACATGTAGCAATGGTGGGACAAACTCAGGCTTCATTACACAGGGCTCAAAATTCATTTTTGAGAATAGGTACACTGGTGCCCCAACCTAAAAAAATTTGGTGCACAAACAATATTTTAACTTTAAGTGCACCATATAAGATAGAAGTAGAATGTCAGCAAAAACTATAACTATGTTTCATTTCAAGAAAAGTGCTATAACAATGATTGTATTATTTTTTCTGACACATGTTAAGAATATGCTGTAAATACTATACATTTACCATCTTTACATAAATTAAACCTAAGAAAATATTTGAGTGCACTGGTGCATCCACAGAAAAAAAATTGGGTGCACAGCTCCAAATTTGGGTGCACTAAGATGCACATGCACCCAGTATTTCGAGCCCTACTACTGCAATAGGGGAATCAGAGAAATGGACAAGCAACAAGGCATCATGATATGTTATTGGTACTAATGACATGCCTTTATTAATCATTCCCTTAGTAATATATCAAATGTCTGAAGCGAGATGGTAGCATCTTTCTACGTGGACAGATCTCTGAGCTTTTTTAGTTTTTTGCGATATATCCAGTTAACAAAAACAAAGATGATGAACGGTTTAAGATTTATTAAACACAGAATTCAATGTGTTTGATATCAATGCTTAAAACTGTAACTGGAATTTGAGAAACTCTACTAAAAAGTAATGGAAATCGAAAACGTTACAGTTAACATTGCCAATCAGGTAGAGTCTTTGCACTGCTATAAAAAATTGAGAATTTGAACTTGGAAATGTGAAAAATCTTTCATAAAACTTATGTGAGAAGGAAGGATCAAAGGCATCTTGTGCCCCACCCTCCTCACTACACAGAGTGGGACAGAAATTCCTCTCGCCCAACATATAAACAAATCTGCTGTCAGTGGGGTGTTTTAACCCTTGTCCTGCGGGGCCCATATATATATGGGTTGCACATACAGTACCATCTATATAGTGCCCTGTATATGTGCGATTTGGGGGTGTTTCTCGTGCAACGCATCACACCGCAGCGAAACGCAACGAATGCGGAAGTAACTACGCCACCGTGGGGCAAAAAAACTCAAGGGTCTGTGACCTGATTAAGACATGAAATTATTTGAAAATATCGTGTAAAAATTGCCAGCAGGACAAGGGTTAAAAGGGAGCTGGAATGCACTGAAGTGCACCCACTTCAAAAGATATGCATTACAAGGCACCCTAATGCCTGGGTGTCACTTGGTCTGAACCCTTTCAGTAGTCAGACCTTGGCATATGGAAGGAAATGGCAGCATTGTGCCAGGGGGCTATCAAAGGACATCTTAAACATGGCTTAATTCAAATGTAGAGATTACTGTGTGCCGTGTGTGGTTTATCAAAAGGCACTATGTAACCATGACTTTTCTTTCTTTCTTTCCTTTCATTCCAGCATCAATAAAATAATGTAGTGAAACATATCTGCTGAACAGTGGGATATATTTTCATATACCTCCAGGAAAGGATGGGAAGGAAAATATTCTTCGCTTGCTTTTTTTAGCAAAAGTTAACTTTTTTCAGTACTTGATTATTTCTAGAAGCCTCTTAATTACAAAAAATCCTGAACCATATCAACTGTAAAATAAACAATGTGTCAGTCAATAACATAAGGCAGCACCTCATGTTCTCAACCATAACACGCCTGTGAAGTTCAGACTTTATATCATTGTTTGAAGTTGTAATTCGGCAGTTTTGTCTAGCCATCATGTACGCAGAAGTTCTTGTAACACGACCAGACAGATACTGCCCATATGGATAACTCCCTCATAACCATATCAATGCTTGGGTTCTTTCTGCCAGGCTGATAGCCAAACAAAATACCACTTGAGCTGGCAAGTCTTGGTTGCTCAAACAGAAACAAAGCAGGCCTGTGATGGCATCCACAAATACTATGAGAAAGGATCACTGCTGCTTACTTATTTTCACAGATGTAGAAGATACAAGGTCTTCCCTGACAGCGGTGTAAAATTAGACAGGTGACCAGGGCTTGTGTTGGGGGCTGGCCTGGGAAAGGTCTCTGTGCCTGGCCCTCTTCGTTTACATTCATATCTGCTGCACAAGTGTGCATTTCCTGTGCTGGGGGAATGTCAGGCAGGCAGACCAGCATAGAAATCTGAGAAAACAATTACACATGCATATGGCATGCCCCTACCAACACCTGGGGTACACTGCTGGCCATCCTGCACTCTAGCAGAATGTTATACTGTATACCATAAAACCTGCAGACTGAAACTGGGCAGCAGTGAAAGAAACGTTGTTCCAGTGATACTGACAGCTCCGGGCAGATGCTGCTAACTCTTCCTGCCAACTGCGTACACAGCCTGCTAATTTGCGGAAACCAAGTGCCCTAACGTTTGGGGCTGCCACTGTGATCCGCCCCCAGGCAAGATTACCGAAAAACGGCCACTTGGTAGGCAGACAACACAGGGCAGTTTTGGTATGTAAAAACCTAACAGTAGTACGCTGATACATCTTTGCCGTTAGGAAGAGATTGCTTCAAGATGCTAGTACCAGTAGTAGTGAGATCTGAAAGCCAAAAACAAGAAAGAAGACAGACCTACAAATTGAAATGAGAAAGACAGAAAGACAAGACTGGTGTGGTAAGTAGCCTGAGGAGACAGAAGCAGGATTTCCTGAATCCTGACCCAGACTTGTCTGCTGCCCCCCCCCGCTGTACCTGTCAGTAACGACAATGGAACAGCCCACAGGATTGCATTTAAATGTCGTGTCTTATCCATCGCAAATCCATACTTCACTCATAAAGGGTCTCGTGTGTGGGGGTAATATTTGGTTATTACACGACAACCTTTCAGAAGTCAAAAATTGTGAGGGCTACAAAATACAGTCAGTATGTTTGATGCTGGAGGGCTTCGAACAGATGCGATATTATGAACCCGAGTCAGCAAAATTGACAATTTCAACGAATACAACATTATTACAACAGGCTTGTGTGGAGGAATAACGGGACAGACATTTATGCAAGTCTAAAGACATCGTGACACCGGTGTTTCATTTACATTCAGTCCCATACCGGCGTGTTATTGTTATCAATGTATGTCAAATCATCAACACAACTGGACCAAGGCGACAGGGAAATCTATTCCACTACAAGGCCGTTCCAAGGACAGGGAGAGGATGATGATTCTCAGAACCGGCGATATCGTCGCATACATTTATTATATATAAAGGTGTATGATAAGTGAGGCCGGTGTTCCATTCCAGTGTGAAGCAAAGGTGAGTAGTTCACCCAAGGTATGAATGGGAAACCAGAAGGCCCAAAGGGCAGCAGCACAGGAATGTGGAGCCATTCATAACACAGGCCCTTGGGGAACCCGCCTGTTGGGGTATGCATGCATGCAGCGGTTGTCTGTGTTTCTCTGTGCTGCGTGTAACACATATTAGGTATTCACACAACATGGCAGGATGCTGCATAGCAAACTGTCAGAAAATGTTCATCGAGGGGCTTAACCAATAAACATACCTGCCTAATCCATATCAATGTGTAATGGTGCACAGATGGAGGGTGTATAATTGGTTACACTCAGCTGCCTAGCTAGAGGTTCTACAGGTTTGCATGGGTCAAAATGACAGTCTGTCAGCAAAACATGGGATAGGATCGGGACTGGTTTCTCTACTACTACTCTAGCAGGTCGTTGAGTTATGACTTTCCCCATCAAAAATTAGATTATATCCACCGGGCACAATTAGGAGACTGGGCGAAATTGGATTATCCCGTATTACAAGGCTGACTGGGAGTTTCTGTAAAAATGCAAATAGAAGATTTGGCATGGTCCCCGCCTCATGTGGTGCCGGGCATGGTATTTTGGCCACTCTTCACATATTTCAACAGAGGGAAGCATCCTGGCCTAGCCGAAATTACAGACAGACAACAGCTAGCTTTGATTTATTTGTGGTGGATGCCAACATACTTTTCCAGTTGAGTAGTGGTGTTAATGCATAGCTTGAGCCTTGCGCTGGCTAATACAGTCACCAGCTGGCTATTACTGAAAACACTGCCATAATGCGGTTTAGGCCTACACCTTGGAGTTGGGCCATATGTGGAATAAAACCCAATTTTTGTTCTTCATGCGCAAGTTGACAACCCGCAATCGCTCAGCGTAGTAAAGGGGATAATTTTACAACCTTATTTTTCAATTTTGGCAACAGGATTGACGTAGGGTTAGTTTCTGTATACAGGAAAAGTGTCTCTTGTATAAACTGGTTAATCTCTAAACAGATCTTTTGGTGGCTGCAAGACAGTATCAAAATTGACAGGACAGTATCAAATATGTTATGCAGTATCCATTTGCCACCCGAAATGTAAAGAAAAAAGATACCAGTTTACAAAACAGAAAGTAAAAAAAAAATGGCTAACAGTAACACGTCAAAAATAAGCTGAAGCCTCAACCTCTGCTTGGAGAGTATAAACTGGTGTTTACATTGACAACTGCAGACCCTATTCACACAGATTCCCATAGTTTATGGAAGGGTGTTACAGGGAGGGTCAATCATATGGTTACACCTAGGTGCGAAGTGACGCAGAGGTGTCCAGTTTTAACAACACCGACTGTTCTACCTAATCAGCCATAACAAGAGTAATCAAGTGACAAATACACACTAAAGGAAGTTGGTTGGTGGTAGGAAGGGAAGCAGAGTGGGTACGGGTTCGGGGCGGCTGAAATGCAGACACAACACCATTCCACCACCACACCCTGGCGACCTGACCCCGGGAGGGTGAGGTCAGCACCAGGCGAGGGGAACACCAACGTCGAACACTAACCATCTTCCACACACGTCATTCGAAGGAAAATAAACATCCTAGATTTAACATATATTGCTCGCGAGTGAGTGAAAATTAGAAGTCCTTACCTGGGTTGTTGGCCTGTTCTTGCAAGACTTGGATGTCGGAAGAATCGGCGAAGCTCTGCTCGAGGCACAGGACAAGAAACTTGGCCTGGACGCCGGAGACTCTCTTGAGGAGGGAGAGCAGGGCCACCGTCTGTTCGCTCTCATTCCAGCCCTTGAACCAGCCCGAGAGAATCTGGATTTGGTCTCGAAACATGTAGGAGCTGGGCTTCATGTTGGCAGCAGAGGGCTGCCGAGATCCTCGCGGGCAGGGCGTCGCCTCTCTCCGTCTGCTGGGGGTATGGGCAGGAGACTGACTCACGGCCTCACCATGTGTGTTTGATTTGGAGGGGGAGGGGGGCACAGAAACACAAAAGCGTGGCGGCTTCTTCGCGGCCAGTTAGCTCCCGAAGTAAAAATCCGCGACGTACCTGGAAAAAATCCACCGCCTGGACCCGTCGAGGCGTGTTCAGGTTCTCATCCTACGAAAGTCGGTTCAGATGAAGCCACAGGAATGTTCTAAATGCAGCGCAAGCTGGTACGGACAGTACTAAATATAGCCCGGTGTAGGCTGGGACGACAGACGGGACAGGAACACAGTATAGTCGACGGAGGGACTCGGCAGAATACCGGTATACGCCCTGCCTGTCCCCGTATAACCCTAGCCGGTTGTCTGGCCTACCTCCGAACCGGTCTTTCGGTGTTCAGACGACGTAAAGCCCGCCACACGCCGCGGTATATAGAGCTGTAGTCGTCAGACGTGTACGGCAACTTCTGTTGATACTGGCAGAATGTGTAAGCACAACACAACCAACGTAGGGGGGGGGGGTAGCTCGGCAATACCATTCACGGTCTCCTAGCGAAACGGCTCCTCCCCCGACGAATAGGCGGACTTCCTCCAAAAGTCACAATCGTCCAGATCCAGTCGAACTCCCCGATACGTCCCGAATCGGAATAAAGAACGAGAAAACCGTTCCGAATTTTCGGGTTTGCGGGCCCCTCGCGCGACTGACCTCTTGGGCAGTTCCGACCTTCTGACGTCATCCCGTTGGCGCGCCTTCTGCGTTCGCGCTTCCTAATAAGGGAGGTCAGAGTGCTTATAAATGAAAGTGGCGGGAACTCCAAATATTTATTTTCCCCTTCCTCAACGTCGCGTTCGTTGATCATTAAACATCCGCCGGCTGAGGAGTAAGAAAACGTCTATGAGGCTGTGTGTGTGTGTGTGTGTGTGTGTGTGTGTGTGTGTGTGTGTGTGTGTGTGTGTGTGTGTGTGTGTGTGTGTGTGTGTGTGTGTGTGTGTGTGTGTGTGTGTGTGTGTGTGTGTGTGTGTGTGTGTGTGTGTGTGTGTGTGTGTGTGTGTGTGTGTGCGTAAGTGTGTGTGTGTTTGTGTGTGCGTGCGTATTTGTGTGTGTGTGCGTATGTGTTTGCGTACAGGCGTCAGTGTGTGTGTATATGCTTGTGCATAAGTGTGTGTGTGATATTCTAGTCATTCATCTACGTACTTGAAGCCACACTACCCCAATGTAGATTGACCCTCATGGCAATACCTCATGGACGCAAAAATTCCCAACGAAAAATGGTTACTGGGCAGAAAATAAAGGACTCACCTTGGCGCTTGTTTCTGCAGTTTTAAATGCCCAAAGTATGAAATGCTGATTTAAATGTGCTAGTGTGAAGCAGTATGTATGTATCACAAAGCTTGCCTTATTCATAATATTTCCAGTTTTTCTGCCCTGAAATCCAATTGGATATGATGCCTTTTAATGTCAAAGATATGAAGCCTTTTGTGGCAGTACAATGACGAAAGGGGGGCAACCTGCAGCGTGGACCAGAAGCGCACTTTTCAAAGCACTGGCATCTAATGATCACCTATCATAGAGCGGTCGGACAGTGAAGGATTGCACAGCGACTCCATGTGTAAAGCTACCTCTGCTAGCCTATTTACTCCTAAGGTTGAGGTGCCACGTCAAGCAAAGCGAACCAAGAGAGAGTGGTGAATATAAACTGGGCCCGTGGAACCATACTGCACATTGAAATTTGAACATTTTTAAATTATGCTGTTACTTTACTAGTGTTAGACCTAGGACGTTCTATCACACGTTGTTGAAGCTCCTTGATCAGACATAGGTCATGGTAAATCGAAGCTTCTTTTCCGTAACTTTGAATACACATGAAGCCGAAAAATGGGGATAACACTGGAATTCGGAAGAAGGTTTTTGTATGCGGTAAAGTCATTGACCTCCCTGTCCATTGAAAGCAATGCGGCGTCTTCACTGTGTGTGAGGAAATGCCTGGTAGCGCCGCCTACCGTTCAATATCTGTACTACAACAAGGCTGGCCAATATATTGCTGTGAGTTTTGGTTTCGGGGTAGGTTGAGTTATGACTAACATGATTAAATGCTAACCATGCAAATTAGGAGCTAATTTGCATAGTATAGTTTATTACAAAATTTTTTAAATCAGCTGCGTCCCATGACAGGACTTGCAAACACGTGACATGTAACAAAGCCTAGAGAGACATCGCTAGATATCAATTATGCAAAGAAATACCTCATTCATTTATTTATTATCTCCATAGTGATAAATGATGGGAATTCTATAGTTGTGGCGTTTGTAAGTTAAGTTATAGTGTACACCATGAGATGGTAAATCATGCAAATCACGGTCTTATATATTTGTATAATAGTTGGGAAAATGTTACAATAGTCTTTGCAAACGGGACAACATGACAAGTGCTATTTGGTTAGAGAAAATCACCAACTGATTTAATGTATGCAAAGGGCGATATTATTTTCATAATCAACTAGAACCCGGCCCTTGAAATACTAGTACGTCTGTTAACATCTGGTGAAAGTATGAGGTAGTGTAACTCATTGTCGTTTGAGATTACACACGTTTGTCATGTGGGTGATTGGATGATACATATTTCATTTATTTGAGTACACACTTCAGTACAGATCTTGCATCAAGTTATGACAAGCTTTGCAGGCACGCGGCGCGGCGGCAGCTGACTATATATATATTACCGCACGGCCTGTTACACCTGGTTTTTGCACATCTAAGTGTAAGCGTCGTTTAAAACTATCTAGTGATGATGCCCCTGTACTTGCAATTGTTGGCAGCGAGTTCTACTCTATCTACTCTACTCTTTTTGTACACCTCACCCCTCAGGCAGTGATATAGATGGTATATTTTACAGCAGAAACTGGGTGTTTGGTTGACTGTGGGTGGGACAAAGGGCCAATATAAAGCTAGCTTAAGTATTTAAACCAACAGTTGGTGTCACCGTGTGTGATTAATGATGGACCAAACATGTCATGTTTGGGTGACAAATGCTTTAATGAAGAGTTGCAGTAGGATAGCTCGACGTAACATTACATGAAGAACAAACAATCATTCCAGAACTACAGAATGACAACACGTACAGACGATCTGGTCTCTAGCTATCTTGTCTGTGGGTATCGTCTTTTTGCCACCGCAAACACGCGGGTACATTACATTCCTAACCATAGTCAGTCTTCTTCTCTCACTATACTCGTGTGCTGATCACTCTTTGCGAAACATCTCGGTACGTTGGACAACATTTTCCACTGTCCAGGCCTGTCTCTCGCTTTTCTTTCCTCTCGTTAACGACATAAAACTCGTATCAGACAAGCCTGACATGTACATTGTAGTCCTCTCTCTCTCTCTCCGTTTTCTTGCAACATTAGAGACATATTCTACGAGGGTCAGTTCTGATGCTTGTAGCGGGGGCTGATTTGCTGCTAGTATTTCAGACAAAAATGTCTTACAATTGATAAATTAAGAACACAAAAAAACGCGTTTATTTAGAAGCACTTGCGGTGGACAATGGCGGGGCCGGACTCGTCGTACTCCTGCTTGGCGATCCACATCTGCTGGAAGGTGGACAGGGAGGCCAGGATGGAGCCGCCGATCCAGACGGAGTACTTCCTCTCGGGAGGAGCGACGATCTTGATCTTCATGGTGCTGGGTGCCAGGGCGGTGACCTCCTTCTGCAGACGGTCGGCCAGGCCGGGGTACATGCTGGAGCCGCCGGACAGCACGTTGTTGGCGTACAGGTCCTTACGGATGTCGATGTCGCACTTCATGATGCTGTTGTAGGTGCCCTCGTGGATGCCGGCAGACTCCATGCCGATGAAGGAAGGCTGGAACAGGGTCTCCGGGCAGCGGAACCTATAATAATAATAACAATGGTTTATTTGCTTCATGTACATGTAACTTTATACTTTTATACTTTTGTATTCATTTGTAATATATTAATAGCCAAACTCTGTACTCTTGTTACCTGGACGATACCCATGTTTTGTGATGTAATTTTTATTTTTTTTATTTTTTTTTTATTCCGAAACATGTAATCACAAGACGTGGTGACGACACACTCAAGTTTTTTCAACTTATATTAATGCCGTCACCAACATAGGGACAGTACAATACTCATCGGTGGCATGTCAGGACTCGACCCCGGGGCCTCTGTTTTTTTATTTTACCACTATGTATTGCATTTTTGCATGTTGTAATAAATAAAAAATAGAAAACCTCTCGTTGCCGACGGTGATGACCTGTCCATCAGGCAGCTCGTAGCTCTTCTCCAGGCTGGAGGTGGCGGCGGCGGTGGCCATTTCCTGCTCGAAGTCCAGGGCGATGTAGCACAGCTTCTCCTTCACGTCACGGACGATTTCTCTCTCGGCTGTGGAGGGAGGGAAATGGTGAGATTACTTGTATGTTATAAGCAACTGGGTACACATTAAAACTTCTCCGCCCCAACCGCACAAGTTGTTTTAAACCCTTCTCTGAATGAATTGTAGAGCTACTAGTATATCATAAGTAAGTAGCTTAAATCGTAAAGCCGTTCATTTGCTAGCGTTGAATACCTATTTTTTCAGCTGTACTACCGATCTTACTCAACAATATCTTGGAAGGTTTGATCTCTACATGGAGTTATCGGGGTGTGCCAGGGAAGCCGAGCCACAGCACTGAGCCAGTTCCAATGTCTGATGTGGCTTAGTAGCATGCATGGACAAAAGAAGTCTTTCTCTTGCATCGTTCTCTGCTCCTCTCATCATCTCATGTCGCATAATGTATTTTATAATGTATTATGTTTTTAAGTGAATGTTACAATTGGCGATATTCAGCCTGGTGCTGCGAAGTTGGTTGAGAATAAACCATTTGATTGATTGATTGATTAATTGATTGATTGATTGATCGGTTGATTGATTGATTGATTGGTTGATTGATTGATAATGTTTGCAAAGTCGACGCCTTGTAACGATTCCTCGGAGGAGGAAAGGCTACTTACCCGTTGTGACGAAGGAGTATCCGCGCTCGGTCAGGATCTTCATCAGGTAGTCTGTCAAGTCCCGGCCGGCCAGGTCCAGACGCAGGATGGCGTGCGGCAGGGCGTAGCCTTCATAGATGGGCACGTTGTGGGTGACTCCGTCGCCGGTGTCCAGCACGATACCTTTAATTGAAAGTTTATTGAAGGTTTATTGCAAATTATACATATCAGAGAGCTGATTGCGAACACAAACAACGTGTGCCAAAAAGCAGTTACTCAAGACTGGATACGATTTTGGAAACGGTCAGACGTTTCAGGTAGTATCTACTACCTTTCGTCATTGACTTTAAACAACATGTATGAATAAGAAGATACAATGATCTGAGAGACTATGCATAAGTTATATATACTACATTCTAGATTCTACAACATACGTGGTACTGATTTTGTTGGGTTTGACCTCTTGTTTTGAGTCAGTGGGGTACGAATTTACCCACTTCGTCTATATGTCCATCCATCCACCCATCAGTCCTATAGCTAGTTGATAGCCGTTGGGGCAGCATAGCGTTCAACTATGACATGTGGGTTTCTGTATCTGTATCTACATAGCCGGTATGACCGTCCTTCGGCGTAATGCACCAGCTTCGCAGGCACGCGGCGCGGTGGCAGCTGGCTACCTCACACCGAACGGCGTGTTACACCTAACCCTTGAACATCTAACTCTAACATTGTTTAAACATTATCTAATGATAATGCCCCTACTGTACTTGGTGGAAGCGTAGCCTGGTATCCAGCCTTGTTAGCTTTAGTCCGCTCTTGGGTAGCGGACTAAAGCTAACAAGGCTGGATACCAGGCTAGTGGAAGCGAGTTCCACTATGCGATAGCTATGAAGTATGAGCAAATTAGTAGTAAGATGGTTACCGGTGGTGCGGCCGGAGGCGTACAGGGACAGCACGGCCTGGATGGCCACGTACATGGCGGGGGTGTTGAAGGTCTCGAACATGATCTGCGTCATCTTCTCCCTGTTGGCCTTGGGGTTGAGGGGAGCCTCTGACAGCAGGACGGGGTGCTCCTCGGGGGCGACACGCAGCTCGTTGTAGAAGGTGTGGTGCCAGATCTTCTCCATGTCGTCCCAGTTGGTGACGATGCCGTGCTCGATGGGGTACTTGGTGGTCAGGATGCCCCTCTTGCTCTGCGCCTCGTCGCCGACGTAGGCGTCCTTCTGGCCCATGCCGACCATGACGCCCTGGTACCTGAAGTGGGGTGCACATGTTAGTAATATCGCAACTAAGGCTAAACAGACATTGGAAGTGATCAAACGTAATCTGTGGGCATGCCCAACTAGAGTAAAATCACTTGCATACACGTCACTGGTAAGACCGAATCTAGAATATGCCACGACAGTATGGGATCCATATACAAAGAAAGACAAAGACAAACTGAAAAGGGTACAGAATCAAGATTCTGTATAAACAACTATGAAAGAGGTACTTAGGTCAAGGAAATGAAAAGAAACCTAGAGTGGGTGTCACTGAAAAACAGAAGAAAAAATGTCCAGGCTATGCATGATGTACAAAATGACTAATAAACTGGCGAAGCTGGTGTGTTACACCGAAGTGCGGTTCTACCGACTATACAGATACAGAAGCTGGTGTGTTGCGCCGAAGTGCGGCTATACAGATACAGATACAGATACCTTGGGCGGCCCACGATGGACGGGAAGACGGCCCTGGGCGCGTCGTCGCCCGCGAAGCCGGCCTTGCACATGCCGGAGCCGTTGTCGACGACGAGAGCAGCAACCTCCTCTTCGCACATGATGGAGAGTTAGTCTGGTAGCACCACTGGAAAAACTGGGGAGAAGAACCTGGCAAGTCTTCAGAGGACCGCAGTGAAGTGAAGACCGGGGGAGGCCCCCGGGACCGTTTTATACACCGACACCTGAAGATTTTAGACGCTCGTTCGCAGAAGTGGCCCCCGTATATGGAAGGACGTCACACACAGGCTCCTGATTTGGCTACGGTAAACCTCGGCAGGCTGACCGGAGTGCGAAATTCCGGCAAGCGGGCGGGAGGAGGAATGTTTGTTCTTCATCATGGACTGGATCGTGGCTAATCAATCTCCAAGCAGATCCTATAGCTACGATGGCAATGGAGTATACCATTGGCTGATGGTCACTGCTTCATGCTTCACCAATGGCTACTACATTTTTTGTACCTTGCCACTGACACTGTAGGATCTGCTCAGGGATTATCCGACCGTGGCGATCTGAAACGTCGGCCTGAGTACTACTGATGGTCGGAGACTGGGACTCAGGCTAAGGTCTGCGCCTAAGTGGAACTTGCTGCCACCAAATACAGTTGTTATTCATCGTGGATTGGATCCAATCTCCAAGCAGATCCCATACGACGGCAATGCAGTAAACCATTGGCTAATGGTCACTGCTTCATCTGTGGTTACTAGCCTCGTAGCCTGCACCAGGCACCGCGGATCGCTGGGAAAGATTAGTGGAAATTGGCCAAAAATAAAGGGAATAGTATACCAGGGGGTTAGCCGGCCAGAGAGGGTACCTTTTGCGACGTGCGGCAAACTGTACTCTCTAGCGGACCAACTCCCCTGGCATGCTGTCTCTCTATTTAGCCAATTTCTACTCTTTCCAACCGCCTCCCGAAGCCTGAAAGAGGCTAACTGCCTCGCTGCTCTGGGTTTAGCCGATCGTGGCCGTCCGAGACGTCGGACCTGCCTCATGTCGGTCGGTACGGATGGTCGGAGCCTGAGACTATTAAAGGTCTATGCTAGAGTGGAACTCGCTGCCACCAAGTACCGTTAGTGTATTGACTTTGGCTTCTTGGTCGTCTTGTGGTAGCGATTCCGTGTGCCTGACCAAGGAGGTTAAAAATCAAGCTCTTTGGTCTGCCCATTATATACTGGGAAGGTACATTTTGTAGTACAAAATGTATCTCCAAACATCGAAGACTAAAATTTGCGTGCAGAGCCAGAGGTAGGATGTTTCCCTCAATGATTTCAAAGATGTTTTCCTTGACTAGATACTCGATATTAAATGGACACGTCTACCAGAAGAAAAACGTATATTTTAGGCGATCTTGTGTTGAAACCATTTTTATCAAGGGAATCGGCCTTTTCTGTCTTAGGTGACTCACCAAAAATTGTTAAAAGGTTTAAAAATTCTGATTCTATTTTCATCAAAGCGGATACTGGGAAAATATGCCTGGATGTAACCTGTAGATTATGAGAATAGGCAGAACAAACTGGTCTGTATAGGACCTTTACAAGTGACTACAGGTATTTGTTAAGTGCTCAGATATGATATGATGATGAAAAAATATTACATGTATTAAAGACCTTTGGAAAGACTCGAACTGAGGTTTCTTCAATTAAGTAGGTACAGAAAGAAACCTCAACACATCCTCTTGAAGCTAAATAAAGCCCTTATGAACACCCTGCATACCTTTGATGCTGGCCCAATTCACTAGAAGGAATATACATATGGTATATTATGTATAACAATATTATTTTAAATAGCTTGCCATATAATGAGGACAAACTGCCTTTCAAGGACTGACTTTTTTTAATTAATTGTGCAGCAGTAAGCAGATAATTTGTCACTCAAAAAAGTTTGAAGATGTGAAAGTATCCAGTTTCTCTTAAATGACAGAGTACAAAAAAGCAGCAGACTCAAAGTTTCTACAAACTGGAATGTAACAATACATTTACATTTAATCTGAGGTTCAACAAATTCCCCTAAATTATCCGACAATCAGCTTTAAAGTAATTAAATTTTAAAGTAAAAGTATTCTTAAGTAAAAGAGTAGAAATGATTCCATGAATACTTTCATCAGGTTGGTAAGTCACTGAGTAAAGAAACTCTTATTGCACAACCAAGTCTTTTATTCAGCTGACGTTTCGCTGACCGTCTGTCACCTCCCTATGGTGCAATGCAATATGAACCAGTCAGAATTGCCCTGAGGAAGGTGACAGACGGTCACCAAAATGTTGGCTGAATAAAACACTCGGTTGTGTAGTCTCTTTACTCAGTAGAAATGATTGTTTTCCAACATGTTCTAAGAAAAGCTGATGACTGCAACTAATGAAATATTGCACAAGCAGCCAGGATCATTCCTGCTTCTTCAGAACAGATTTTCTCAGTGATTCAGGTACAAAATATACAGCAAGTATGGCAAAAATAGCTTTGCAACAGAGACCTAATCAGCCTACATAAGTGTCTTATGTATCAGAGATTGTCATAATGTCATATGCTGAGGTCACATTTCCAAACTGGGGCCCGGCCGGGCAGCTTTTGGGAACGAAAAGTACGATATAAAAGTCAACAAAACACAAAAACGTTTTTGATGATAATCACAGGCACTATATGATCTATATACTCTTGATATGGATTGTTAATTTTTCGATCATACAGACAGCCTGGTCGGGCCCCGGTTGGGAAATGTGACCTGTGACCTGAATACAGGACTGTTTAGCCTTAGCCGATACTATATGGCTCATACAAATTAGGGTTATACCATGGTAAGTCCACACCAATTTAATTTGTTGCTTCTCGGATTTTTTCAGAAAAAATATGAAATGACAGGGCTAAAAAATATTAAAATAAAGACAGGTCTAGGCGTCATCTTATAGCCCAAAATGCTACGATAGGAGCCATGAAGTCAAGACAAAAGGCTGGGCTAATATTTATAAACAATGAATTTGAAGTTTTTTAATCAAACCACTGCATTGATAGATGGAAAAACTGTGACAACTAGGAAGAAAAGGACTTTCCTCAACTGCCGGGGGCAAAATATGAGCATTTCTGAGTTGATTCAAAGTTGAGTTGATCTTTTTTTTTTGAAAATCAGAAAAAATGAAGAGGCGAATCCTAGAACCAAAAAATTAAATTGGTGTGGCCTGAATATTGACTAACAGAGGTCATACAGATTGCAAATGATAGTAAAGACTGTCTCCAAGCAGATGCTACGGTGGGAAGACAGTATCCAAATGGCCAGAGGAGTGTCCATTAGCAACCTTGGTGGCTAGTGGACACTTTATTTATTCGTCTAGTTCGGCTTACAACAGCCAGGGTTACCCAACTAGTCATAGATTATATGGGATGTTGAATTCGGAAGATTCGAGGACGAATCTTGAACAGAAAAAGGGGGGAGTAGTGTAACAGTGGGGGGCTTATAGGTCGCAGCTACCAATTGACCTGGCCGAGGGGTATAGACCTTTTAGCTGAATCGTTAGAGCGCCGGCATGTCGACAGGTGACTGGGTTTGGTCGTAGGTTCAAACCCCGGCCCGGGACCAGGAGTGTATTTCTGTTTCTACTTTCCTAATTCTTACATAAGGGTCAACCCTCCTCTGGCCACCGTAGCATCTGCTTGGATATGGTGTGACATGGACTAGACGGGAAGCACGTCGGCTGAACGTACTGCGCCTGCGCAGAACCCCGTATTTTCGCTTTTTTAGTTGGATTTTTGGTCAACGTTGCATCAGAATTCTGTCTGTTGCAGAGGATATTCTTTACAACATAACACTTGGAAACTACTGTCGAAATGCTAACCTTATATGAGCGAATGCAACCTTATATGAGACATTCTGCTGAACTGCTATGTACATTACGGGTTTCGCGCAGGTGCAGTACGTTCTGGCGACGTGCTTAGACAGGACATGCAGGCGTGGCTCGGTCTCATCTGATGGTCTCCAGCCTCCAGCCTCCGTGGCCATCCAGCTTCAGTTCTACATCATGGAACTGGGAGGGTGGAGAAGAAAGGAGCGAGTTTGTAATGATGACTGGGTGCATACTGAGTATTCATTGTCCTCGTCAATTTGCAATCAGCCCTTGGGCATGAACTTGCAATAAAGAACTCTTTTATTACTGTATTTCAAAACCAGAAAAGACTCCTATACTACTAGCTGATAAAACAATACACTCTGCCAAGAACATAAATGTACATGTAATGCATCACTGAAGGTTAGACATCCAGGTAATGAGATGCAGGAATTGTTACTGAAGCAACTGGATAGACTTAGAAAACTGTCAGATTCTCATAGAGATAATCTATCCAGCTGCTTGAATAACAATTCCTTCAGCAAGGCAAGAGACCCAGGTTCAATCTCCAGGGTTGGACCCAGACATTGTGCCCTTGGGAAAGGCACTTAATATGGGCCCTACTAGGGTTTGGGTTGGCATTAGGAAGGGCATCCAGCCGTAAAAAAATCTTGCGTCGAAAAAGACTAAATGCACTTGATGCAAGCACGTCTAACCCCCATGAAGTTTAGGGGAAAAGTGACGTTAAAATTGCATTTAAAAAAGGGACACGATGGCTCGCCCACCTTCCTGAGGCTGCTCCTGTGTCCCACACTGATGACAGTCATGCCCATGTCCTTACACATGCTGTACAGAACCTCCTCCGTCTCCTGACTCACTGCACTGGTCGCCTCGTCTAGTACTGCCAGGAAGAGATTACACACATTTTTATGTTTACCGAAGGAAAACATATTGTATTTACTACGTTTCTTCTTCTTCTGTTCCAAACACTAACCTCTGACCTGGCCAATGGCCTGATTTGTTCATGTCTGTCACCATGGTAACTGGTGTCGGGTTACATCATGTTGCAATTTTGGTAGACTCCTGTCTGACCATATATTAATGTAACGTTACATGTATTTGAGTAAGAAAAGCAAACCATATGCGAAGGTAAACATTATGCATTTGCTTTGCAAAGTAATGTTACCTTTCTAGTTTTTATTTACTTCAATTTTCAACTCAAGCAGGCTCACACGAACCACGTACATGAGGGCCTGTAAGGGCGGGTCCCAACAACGCTCTACGCTGAATTCGGAAACCTCTCGATTTACGATAAATTCCAAGTAGCTACAATGCATTACATAGAATATTAGAGCAGTCCGTCTACGCTCTACGTAGAATTAAAACGGCTGATTACGCTCTACGGAAATGGGCTTGCGGGCCCCCTTATGTTTTGGGTTATGTTAAGGAACTGAAGAGACATGTTTGTTAACTCTTAAGACTTGAAAAGTTTAAGGTTGCACCCATTTAAGAAGCATTCACAAGGAAGCTTGTTCCATAGTGATGTATAGTTCTACATTGTTCAAAAAACAGTCTGACAAATTATAAATGTTACTGCCATGTATAGACAATTTTCTGAATGTCTGCAACTATGGCTTCACGTGCCTAAGACCTTCTGGAAAAGGGTTAGGGTTTACGTCTTAACCTTTGTAACACATGCATATGTTGGCATGAATTGTTTAGTATTATTTTATTAATTAGGACTTATTTTAGTGTTACCAGTGTCCGTCTGTTTTGTTATCTGCTATGATATTAATTTGTACTTGAAACGTTGACTATATCTTATATACATTTTATGTAATGGTTTATTTCTATTTTAATCGTAATATACTATAACGTTTTATACTATAATGTGATACCCCAATGTCAATTCAGCCTCTGGCTGCCATTTTTGGGACAGTGATGTTGTGTTTTAATGCAAAATAAACCATTGATAGTATGGGGCATCATTGCATTCAGTAAGAATAAATTTAAACGTATTTAACTTCGTAGGCCTTTGTAGTTGAAGATTTCTTCCATAGGTAACATGCTAAAGGAGACCACCTGTCCAAGAAGACCACTTCACCTCGGTCCCCTGGGTGGCCTTCTTGGGCAGGTTTCATGCCCGTAGCCAGGGGGGGTTCGGGGGATTCAGAGGAACCCCCCCACAAGGCTCAAAGGTCCACTTTTTGGTCCACTTTTTATGTGAAGGTCCACTTTTTGGTCCACTTCTTATGTAAAGGTCCAAGATTTTTCTTTAAAAGATGGACTGGAATCGTAGACAAACTGCTCCCTTTGTCATTGAATAAAAATTTATCTCTGATTTTTTCTTGGAAATCCTCTAAAAAATGCACAAAATGCCATCTTAGAAGGTTGATTCTTCAAATGACCCCCCTAGGAACCTCGCGCCTTCAGCGCTCGAGGAGAAGAACCCCCCCATTCAAAATCCTGGCTACGGGCATGGGTTTGACTGTGTCTACAATGTATTCCCACACACAATGTGCCTACAAGAATAAAGAACTGTGCAAAGATACCTGCAAACTGAGGCTGGTGGAAGAACAGTCTGGCAAAGGATAACCTCTGCATCTCCCCTGGTGACAGCACATCGTACCTGTAACAGGAGAATGACAATGACAATGAACTTTATTGCATATTCACGCCCTACATGGCCAAATGCACTTGAGTTAAATAACTTGGGTACAAGAATAAGCGATTATTACATTTGTGTGCTACGTCTCTATCTACAGGATCTAACTACAGGATCTCTTCTCTCTTTTTGAAACATGTATAAACAAATTTACATAGTTTTTCATTTACATCATAGCGCTTGGATGTCATAATATGTTTGAACAATTCTATTTTCGGAAAGTATGCATATTTCTTTTCTAACTGTAAGGAGCTAATAACAGGAGAAACCATTGGGTAGAAACAGGATAACTGACTGTCTGGTAAGGGATGGGACTAGGCAAGGCAAGGTAAGGCAAGGAATGTCTGGTGAATACAATGTATATCAGCACGAAAGTTCATCTGCGTTGGTAAAATACATTATGTCAAACTTGACACTGTTCTCCAAATCACCGATCAACTTTGACCCATTGCTGACGTCACACATGAACAAAACCTACAGCCGTGATCATAGCAGTGGTATCAGAAAGCTAAAGAAATAATTTGGTAAAAAATGTTTGTAAAATTCTTTTGACCTGGAGAACAGTTAATAGTATCTCAAAATTACATGTGTTCCATATTGTGATAAATACTGACACACATTTCAAGCCCATGCTATTCTAACTCTAAGGCTAACTCTAAATACTTCAGCATAGCACCTCCTGAAAGAGCAGAGTTTCTTGCAGGCCTTTTCTAATGTTAGTAATGAGCCTAAACTAGAGAGCCAAGTGTGACACAGATACAGATATAGCCAGTATATAAAGTACACTACCAGGACCGTAAAATTTAACGATTTACGCTGTTACACAAACAAACACACGGCGTGTGCACGTTCGTACACACACTGTGTGCACATTTGGGGCGGAGTCCAGATCAGCGGGGAGTCAGCTCATTATCACTGGGATACCGATAATGGGCCGCTGGTTTGATTTTACGACAGTTGTATACTGGTCACGTCAGAGCGCAATGTCGCGATATTGTGTGTCCATTACGATATGTACGAACAGAATCCTACATGTAGCTCACCAGTTAATCCACTCTGTTCCACCGTCCAGCCCCTTGGCTCGATCAAATACTGACATCTGGAGGGTAAAAAAAAACAGAGAAAAAACATATCATACAATGTTTCAATACTCATTGTTCAACAATACATGTATGTTCGAGAAAAAGTGAAGAGCAGCAAACTGACATTGCAGGAGTATGCTATGGGAACTGAGTCTAAAGTGATATGTGTTTTGCTGATAAAATATTGCAACAAGATAGTAGGAATTCAAATCAATCTTAAACACTGATAAATATCCTCCTTAACAAACTGTCTCTTAAACGAAAATAGACAAGATTGAAACAAACGTTTGAAGTAAGCTTACATTTTGTACATAATTATTAATATGCAAATTCAGTTCCATTTTCAATATCATTTATCATATACATTATTTGTCATATTTATTTAGTTTGTTTTCTGTACGTTATTAATTTGTCCTGTTTCTTTTATTATCACGATGATTATGATTGTACCTAAGTTAGTTCTTTTACTTTTTTGTTATTTTATTATGTACTGTTCTGTGCAGGGAGCGTTGAAACCGTCATTGGCGATATGCTACCCCTGGATAAATAAATAAAATGAAATGAAAAGCTTCTTACCAGTTCTAGTCTTTCTAAATATTGCATAATGATCTCATCATCAGGAGAAACTGAAAGGTAAAAGTGACATCACACCATCAGTTTCATCATCTACGGTCAAACTTGTATAAGAGGACCACCCTGGGGACCTAAGGAATCTGGTCTTCTTAGACAAGTGGTCTTCTTATCCAAAAAGGAGCCGGGTGACAAGAAAACAAAGACACCAATTTCGAAGTTCAACATTTAACACGTTAATTATACTATTTAAAGATAAGCAGTAATTATTAGCAAGGATGTTTAATACTAACCATCACATTTGTATAAGATTTTTTTAATGATAAACATATTTCATATACATTGTTACCAATGTAATGTTACAGCTAGCAAAACTGTATAGTTATCAAATCTTCAGAAAAAGTGGATGTAACATGCATGTTGCTATATCAAGTTCAAGATTTCCTCCCAAACATCCCAAGGTAAAACATATACATTTAGTATGTACTATACGCCAAAAAGCTGTTACTCAAGCAACTGGATATGATTTTTAAAACATCAGACGTTTCCAGCTAGTATCCACTAGCTTTCGTCAGTGACTGAGAGACCAGAGGGGAAATGCAGGTTTATAAGCACAAACTATTGATTGTAGGTTTATATGCAAAAACTACAAACTATTGATTGATATTGATTGATTGATATAGTAGTCTACTATATGATGGATACCACCTGTATGTATTATTCTTTCATTTTCTACAATTCTGTTCTCCTATTTGTAACCTGTATGTCCGCATGGTTTTATTTCATGTAACACCAGTCTGTCTTTTTATGTTGATCCCTGTAGAATAAGCTACAAGGCCAAAGGGGATTACAAAACCAAAAGGCAAGTATTTTTATTTTGGTTCTGTTAGAAGCCTACAGATCATACGAGCCAGTACAGGAGTCCCTGTTCTGGTTGGACTCACCTTGTCCTGGATACTTGTCTTTTAATGGATATATGATCTGTAAAGTAGAGAAGACAGCTGTGAATATCAAGTGCTTCATGTAAACTGATCTATGCATTTTCACATTGAAAAGGGGTACAATACATGTAGCTATGATTGGCAGCAGTTCTATTCACCTGTTCCCTGAGTGATCCGTCCGTCAAGTAAGGTTTTTGCGGTATGAACATCACCCCCTGTGGACCAAGTGGACTGATCCGTTCTACACTGCCTGTTGGGAAGAGGGAAAAATATTCAATTAGAGAACACGATGGAAACATCATAAAGCAAACAAAAGAACAAGCAACTGAGTACTGCCTGTTGTGTACAACAAACCATGTAGTCTCTACCAGGCTTCAGAAGTGGCTGTAAAGATTAGAAATTGGCCAAAGGAAAACATGCCTGGGGAGTTGGACTGCTAGTTTGCTGCTCTGAACTGTACACCTTTAGCAGACTAACTCCCTGGCATGTTTTCCTTTGGCCAATTTCTAATCTTTACAGCCACTTCTGAAGCCTGGTAGAGGCTATAAACCGTAAGTTCATTTACCTCCTAAGGTTGGCCACAGTCCCCTCAACACCCTCAGTAAGGAACTTTTGCCTGATCCTGTATCGGGGAACAGGAAAGATTGGTAATGTACAAAACACACTTGGGTGTGACGCACAGTCAATGCACATCCTTTACAGATAGAATTCAGGGTAGTATCATTGAATCAGCCTTCCAATATAATACTGATTTGCGTTGCTCTCACCTGTGTTTCCCACAATAAGTAGATTTCTTCCTGCTTCTATCTCGAGGGTTAGATCTGAAGAAATAACAGACGTGGAAGAGTTTCAAAGTACATCAGATTCTGCATCATTTGTACAACCTGTTTACAACTATGGATACATGTACTAAGTCTACATACTATTGTCAAACAGATAGTGAAATGACATTTGAGTATCCTGGTTACACGTACAACAAATGGACAGGTTATACACTGTGTTCACACTCCCCACAAATGCCCACACTCACAAGAAAACTGTTACTCAAGCAGCTGGATAGATTTTGAAAACTGCCAAACGTTTCAAGTAGCACCCACTACTAGTAATGCCAATGTTGTTCACACTTACTCCAGATAAATGCCCAGTTCACACTTCCCACAAAAGCCAATACTGTTCAGACTTACCCCTAATGAGTACCCTGTTCTGTAGTGAAGGTGGTGTGAGGGTGACAGACTCCAGCTGGAAGGCCTTGTTACTTTGTGTGCTCTCCTGGCTGCAAAGGCTAACGAGAAAATTCAAACAAATGCTTCATTACACGAAAGAAAAACTGAATACTTCTTAGAGTGTTTCTGGATTATCCTTTTTCTCCTCACAACATGTTAATTTCCTGAACTATTTTCAGTACCAGCGCTATATATAGCAGGTATATATGAAAGAAAAGTACCCTGTATACCTTGTATTTTCACATGAATCATCGTCGCCAGGGTCTGCACTCTGGTCGGGTTGTTCCTCCATCGTTCCCTTTTCTGTCCTCTCTAAGGACTCAAGGAGCTCTCCTATCCTGTAAGGAGGAGGGAAGGAGGTGTTTACCATCTTTAACGGACTACCGACTGCACAGTACTGTGTCTCAAGAGTTTTGTAACGTTCTCCATTTAACAGATTTCCAATAGAACATTTACCGATTTCCAGACACTACAGATACTAATGTTTCAGCACCATGGACAGTGACTGTTCATATTGCTGCTCTTAAAAGCTAGGATGTGTGATAGTGAGTGAAAAGCAAAGTACTGAGTCTTACTTGTGCCTTCATCTCAAGTGACCAAGACCAAGAAATCCTAGCCTCTACCAGGCATCAGAAGCAGCTGGAAAGAGTAGGATTTGGCCACATGGATAGATAACATGACAGAGGAGTTGGTCTGCTAAAGGAGGTAGCAAATTGTACTCCCTTAGCAGACCAACTGCCCTGTCACGTTACTTGTCCATTTGGCCAATTTCTACTCTTTCCAGCTGCTTCTGAAGCCTGGTAGAGGCTAAGAAAAAAACCCACTTCCCCCTTACCTGTGTGTGTATCCTGCCAGGTCAGTGAGTTTGGTGGAAAGGTCAATCAGCCCGCTGAAGCAACCAATCAGGTAAATGGACACAAAGGCATTCTGGAGACATGGGGAAAATGACTATCAGCTGCTACATTAAGTGTTAAAATTATAATAATAATGATAATAACAACAACAACAATAATAATAATAACAATAACAACAACAACAACAATAATAATGATTATAATAACAACAATAATAACAACAACAATAATAATAATAATAATTGTTCTTGGCTGTAAATTAGCAGACTACAATTAGCAAACTACACTTGACAGGCCAAATCAGTGTATGTCTCTGTACAGTTTAATCCATCTTCGTTTGTCTCTTGCTAAGTCTCTAAGGTATTTCAGTACGTGAGACTCGAGTCTGATGTTATGATTGAGATAAAGTTTACAGTCGACGAGTTAAAAGAATACTGAAGTTTATCCTAGTGGAGTACTTCTTAGTCCACAGAAGCATGTTAACAGAACGAACTGCGCCTGCACAAAATTAAGATTTTTCACGGTTTTTGTTGAAGTTTGGTCATCATTGCATCAAAATTTTGCCTGTTGTGGACAATATCTTTCCCAACACAACATGTAAAAGCTATGGACAGATTGTTATCTGCAAATATGGGAATACGACCCTAAATGATGTGTTCTGCTGAAGTGCCAGGCACAATACATTATGAATTTTGCACGTCAGGCAAATCACTTTCTGCCGACGTGCTGTCTACACACCCTATTTACAATTTAGCTTCATCTCAGCTACTTTAAAGTTAGGCTATAGTGAACAGCATTAGTGCTGCATACCGGTTCACTGGACTTGGATCCGGACTTAAAAGAATGTTTAGGTTTAAGTCCAAAAAAAACTAAAAGTCAAGAACCGAATCCGGACTTAAAAGACCATTTCACATACCCCTTTTCTTTCCAAACCACCTAAAACCTTCCGTAGATTGCAAAATCTTTGCTGCAAAATGAAGAAAATATTGCCATTGGGCATCGTCAAGTACCGGCCTCCATGTTATGTGGCCAAAGTTTCACCCAGACAACATTGCAAGGTTGCCAACATGCAATCTTGTATATGCCATGGGTTTAGGTCCGGACTTGCAAGTCCGGAACTGAACCTAAACCTCTGGACTTGAATCCGGACCTGAACCTAAAATTGGGTTTAGGTATGCAGCACTAAACAGCATGAATATGTCCATACCTTGCTGACAAGTGCACTTATTTCATTTGGGGCCATGTGGCTGTAGGCTCCACTCAGGATGGGGATGGCGATAACAATGTAGCTCAGGATACTCCCCACATAGTCAAACATGTTCACTGCAACTGTGGAGATACATGTACAACATAAACAATAGTGGTAACAAATAAGCATGAACCGTGACGGGGGTTGACATCGTCTACCAGATACCTTTGACCCAGTGTTGACGTCACACTTCAAAGAAGCCACGTGACAAGCTTCACTGGGTCAGTCTACTGAGGAAGACCAGAGTGACTGGTCCATAGCTCTAAGTGAGAGAATTTTTGTTTTGGATCAAAAGCATCAGGCAGTTGGCATTCAAAAACTCATTCACTATTGTAACAACTGTACATGTACATACTGCAATACTTATATTACAATACTGTAGTAACTGTAGTAACAGTCAGACATTTTATAACTGAAGATATCATATTTTCCATTGAAGCAATGACTCAGAACACAAGACCCAGATTTGAAGTATTTGATACAATGTGCAAGTACAATGCAAAGTTCATCTTTTCATGAATGAATTAATCATCCAGCCATCCAAATCTCCTTGTGGGTATACATAGCAGAAACCTTTGTCAAATTTTTGTTATTTTGAAAAACTTGCATGATCCCGCTTTATCTGTATCTGCATCTAATTGGTATCTGTATCTGTATAGCCAGTATAACTGCCCTTCTGCATAATAACACACATCTTCGCAGGAATGCGGCAAGGCGGCAGCTGGCTACATTACACATCTATCCAAGTATACAAGCAATCTACTGTACAGAAGCTCTTGAAGTTAGGAGCCTTACAGTTAAGCCAGAACTACCTGTTGATGAGCCGTGTCTGTGTGTCCAGTATGGAGTGGAGCCTGAAGTTAGTCTTATACTACTACTACACTTGCTGTTATAAGATTTAACTTCTTCTTTGAAGACAGTGGATAGTCCCATGTTCTGCTAGCCTGGTAACCAGACCTATTATAGCTCCTGAGTATTTGCAGAGAGGATGTAGGACTTGGGAGCTATAATAAGTCTGATTTCTAGGCTGATGTTCTGCACAATGAGTAGAGGTATGCCCAAATAAAACTGGATTATATTACATCTTCAGATCAACAAAAATCCCAATGAATACAAGTTCGAGAAGCTGGACTTACAGTTGAGCCAGAACTCCCTGTTGATGAGTTGTGTCTGTGTGTCCAGCAGGGAGTGGAGCCGGAAGTTTGTCTTCATCAGCTCCACCTGGCAGGCTCTGTAGGAACAGCAGCACATTGAAGAACTTTATTGAAGAACTTTATTGCATGACAATTGCACATGGTACAATGTATGGCAACTACATAAAGAGAGAGTAACAACAATAGAATAAGTGTGTTGCATAGACCTAATGTCGAATAAAACCTAACATATTAGCAACCCTGTTTGGGGTTGGTGGAAAAAGGAGTCCAGTCCGATTGGCGGAAAAAGCAGTCCAGTCCGATTTGGGGGTGGAAAAAGCAGTCCGGTGGTTTCTACGAAATTCTACGAAAGACCATAGGTACAATTTTTTTCTTGTGTGTACTTCGAGTTTCTATGAGTACTTCGAGTTTCTATGGGTACTTCGAGTTTCTATGGGTACTTCGAGTTTCTATGAAACCCATAGAAACTAGAAGTACACACACAAAAAAATTGTGCCTATGGTCTTTCGTAGAATTTCGTAGAAACCACCGGACTGCTTTTTCCACCCCCAAATCGGACTGGACTGCTTTTTCCGCCAATCGGACTGGACTCCTTTTTCCACCAACCCCCTGTTTGGCTGTTTCTTTCATGAATGAATGAATGAGAGCTTATTGTTCAGAAAACATCATAATGGTACAGAGTCGAATCCAATCAAACCAAAAGGTAACATAAGAGGTAGATATACAGACATAGATTAGGTACTAAAGCACACGTTTGGGGAAAAATGGTGACAGAAGTCACACAAGTCGTTCGGTGTGATATAGCTAGCTGCCGCCGTGCCGCGTGCCTGCGAAGCTGGTGTGTTACGCCGAAGGGCGGTTATTAATTATACCGGCTATACTGATACAGATACAGAAGAAGAGCACAAAAGTAGTAGCAAATGCAAACCTAATTCAACTGAGTCTCTTTTGTTCTCTCCACAAATAGAGAAGATGAAAGAGACCTGGCAATTAAAATAGGTTTGGATACAAAGTACATGTACATCCATGTGAAATTAAGCAAAGAACTTGTGTGCAAATCTTGGGGGGAAAAGTCCAATTATTCCTACCTGTAGAATGCTGCTGACTCAGCATTCACTCTGATTTGCATGTGTTTGAACCTGGAGAATAGATGACAAGAAACTTAAACCAGATCTTTTCAATAATTGAAACCTATCCTCTACAAAGATCCTGTCAGATTTAACCATGCCCTCAAACATGTATTTCACATGGAACTTAATAATATTTATTTATTGTTCGGCTGATACAACACAGCCAGGGCAGCCCAACTAGCTTGAAGCTATTATTAAGGGCTTGCCCTGGGGAAAAAGTGTGGTTAAATACACACAAGTGATATAAATTCTTAAAAATGTCTTAATTACATAGGGTCAACAAATTGTGGTCATTATTATATACAAACTAGAGGTCGGAGATCTCATGTCTTCGTCAGAGGTACATCGTTCTAGAGAAATTAACATGCGTATTCTTCAATCTTTTTAATAATCAATTTGGTCTAAAGAACAAAAGAATCTCTGTACTATTTTTATGGTACAGAACACCCTGAAACGGTTTGCCGCAGATTATACAGATGCGTCGTCACCCGTGTTAGCCCCCCCCCCTTAGTTACTTGGAGTTTGACTGTTACTAGGAAAAAAACGTTCAAGAAATTCTTACTGTGTTGAAAGTGTCACGACAGCGCCGCAAAATATAATTAGAGAAGAAGTTATAAAGGAAAGAATCAGAACAGGGTGACTACTGCTGTTTTGTTAATTTGTCTTTATGACAAATAGAAGACTTGTTTCTTGTGTTCTTTGTGTCCTAACATTTGTACTTCTACAGTTAGTATATTCCAAATCTAGGCATCTCGTTTTTCGGCCCTTCGTGTTTTTATTGCGCGCTTGCCTTAAATTTAAGGTAATTAGATTTAAGGTCTCCAGTGGACGTCATCCATAGCAATTACTTGGTGTGGCCGTAGAAAATAACCTGACATATGTCCAACCTATCCTCCCCCTGCTGAAGTTATAGTACAATCCCTCAATGTAACGTCATTTGATCCTATCCCA